TGCCGAATCTTTTTAATCTCACCCTGTATGAAATTCCTAATTTTTTTATCGCTTGGAGCGCACGAAAGGAAATCCCTATAATGTTCACATTTTGCGTTTATAGGGAGAATAGGGACAGGAGGTATGTATTGGAATTTTGCCAATGGATTGTTCGCATCATACTATATCGATGAACTTTCGAAAATTTCCAGTATTCCTCACCATAAAACACTCAGAAAATAAAAACGATATCGGCTATTTTTCAATTTTCCCCCATATCTCTGAAACGAAAGAAGATATCAAAATTTCGAATGCACCATTTTAGGTTTCTTCGAAATCGAACCCGTAGCATGTATATCGGTTTTTCGATAACTCCTTTAGTTATTGGGATAGCCCGTGAAAATGTCCAATTATGCCCACCCTGTACTCATTCTGTCATCAACATTTGCTGAGGCGATCCTAGTTGGAAGATATCTATTGACTGTCGTTGGTCCACTTAATACATGAATAAAAATAATGTGTATAAACACGAACCTCACCAATTTTTTATAGTTTCCATAGGAATGTATACTGTATATTTCAGTTCATGAGTTTTGTCCATTATGTTTGTTGATTGCATGAAGAATAATGATCGAGACAAAGTGAATATGTACCTATACCTATCCAATTCGGTCAATATTTGCGTGTTTGTGTTAAGAACATTTATTTTTATCTAATTTGTTTGATTTACACTATTTACAGGTTATCCACACCGCATAAATTTTTCCGGGAATATTACAACAAACATTTTGATGATTTCAGTCTAGATGTATACGTGTATACCTACCTACCTACATTAATGGATTCTGTATGTGTATCAGTTAAGTCTATTTATAAGTATATTTTTGTATGTAGATATGAGTTCATGGAATATCTGACGTTTCACGAATAATCCTGATGCACTCTAGATTTCCATCGAGTTTGTATTCGAGTCATGAGGAGAACCATCTTTTGAATGTTTATTGAGACCATCAATTTGTTATGGTCTATGACTGCTTCATCAACTTCTCTATCATTCAAAACTTCTACGATTAGAAGGAAGAAGGAAAGCTCAAAGTCATCTCCACTACTTTATAAATAATGTAAATCAATCAAAGGGACAAGTTTCGTACTTATAAAAGTCCATCTTCAGCCGTTTTTAAAAGTTAATGGAGGTGAACATTATATGTTTTTAAATTGGATGCCGATGTCTATCATCATAATATAGTGATTGAAAATACATAGAGGTTGAGAAAACTCGGGTTCTCATTAAAAATGAAGGTCCCCGTGGCCTAAAACGCGCACTTATGAAACCAAAAAGTCAAGTCCCAGTAGGGTAACTTGACGATCGCTTGACGAGCACTCAAAGGTGCTCGTAAAAACCATTTTAGGTTGCAAGAGAGGAAAAACCAAAGGGCCCGGTACCCTTGAGAGAGCACACTAAAATTCAAAAATCAATTAGAATTGATGGGCCCAAAGGCCAAAAAACGTGAGACGTGAGACGTTTTTTGGCTTTTGGCCCCGTTTCTTCACAACCTCTGTTTATTAACAATCACGATATCATGATGATAGACATGGGCATCCAATTTAAAAACATATAATGTTCACCTCCATTAACTTCTAAAAACGGCTGAAGATGGACATTTATAAGTCCGAGATATGCCCCTTTGATTGATTTACATCATTAATAAAGTAGTGGAGATGACTTTGAGCTTTCCTTCTTCTTTTCGAAAAATTCTACTCCTCTTTGAGCGAACATGGACTTCTTCCAGAGATTCTACGATTAGGTTGAAACTCATTAATGAGTTTCAGGAGGAGATTCTTGTGAATCGATTTTCAGCTGTTGCAATACAGACTGTTTCGGTTTACTAAACTTCATCAGCTGCAGCAGGCCCGCTGATATTCGATTCACGAAGGGTACTCTAGTATGAATGCTATCAAGCAGAATAGGGAAGATGGACGGTCCAGCCCGTAGTGCGACCTTCAGGGCGAGAGTGAAAAGGTGTAAAAGTAGGTTGTTTGAACAAAAGATAGGTATCATGCGGATAGGTCGAACCGAGGGTCGAACACAAACACCTACGTTTGCGTTACAGAGAGGCAACAGAACACAACTCTGCTGACTATCGCAACACCTGAAAATCTTAAATTCATGTTAATCCATGTCTAATTATTCAGTTCAAATTCGTAACTCTTGATAGTTTTGAGACTCGTAAGTACCTACCTATATATAGTAGGTTCCTAATTCGTTTATTTAATCCTTTACAGTTGAACACCTCTATGCCAACATCGACATCTCTTATACGATTAGTCATGCTCATAGACTTTTAGGTATGAATGGATATTGAAACATGCCTGAAATTGAACAATAAGAATCAAATATAGGTAGGGGCATGACACTTATTTGACACTTATATACAAACCATGTGCATTCGCTCGCGAAGAACTCAGGATTATTAGGTCCCCAAAAAAAAGGGAAAAACCTCGGGAAGAACATCCTTCTGAGCCTTGATTAGTGAGCAAATGAACACAGTGGGCTGAACCGTTACCATCGAGACTCTCGATGGTAACGGCTGAACCAGGGTTCAACTCCTTGACCAAACTCGGTCTTTTCAGTTTTTTGTTATAACACTGATCTCAATATATCTGGTGATGGGATTTCTTCGGGAGATTATGGCTCTCTTCACTCGACTGTATCTCAGGTATCCCATCGGGTATCCCTCTCGCAGGTGCGATCTTCAGTAAGTGTATATCTTAATAAATACGAAATAAATACAGTAAACTATTATTCAGTTCCTATTGAAACTCATCAGGGAATTGGAAATTAATAGGTAAGTAAATAGATCATTCGCAGTATCAAAGCATGAAACAAATGTGTTACTATTTCGATTTTTATTTGCTAGTTGAAATAATCGAGATATGGTCATCGAATTAACGGGGATATTTACTTCGTTACGAAATATTCGAAGACTAATCCCAATAAGTAGCACAAAGTCATAAAATAACATAATGACTCCTTATTCCATCTCAAAGACCATATTTGCAATGGTTCACGACCAAAAAGCTAATGTGCGATTAATAATAACATCAAGAGGTTATTATGATGTCTCAGCATAGATATTCTAAGCGTTCAATTGATAATTCTCGAGATGATGTCGTACTGTTTGTATGTGAATAAATTGTATATGTCATTAAGTGGTACTAGATTGCAGTCGTTGTGACGTTTTTGTCACAAGGAATGTATGTATGGTTGTGAGCTATAGATTTTCAGAACGTTTCAAATACTACGTACTGTTCTCATGTAATGTAGTTTTAACAAAAAGTTCAACTTGGTCGTAATGACCACAATATATGAATCTGCCATGTTACATGTTGGTTATGTATTCGATTTCATAACAAAAATAATTATGCCAAAGCAAAACAAGCGAACAGGCACATTCCGAAACATTCTGAAAGAATATGCAGAGGAAGTACCTACTCAAATACTCAAAAATTAACAGTAAATATAATGACAAATCAGCCAACTCCAGTGAGGATGCATGATAGTGGGGAGATTCCAAACTTGCAGGAGAATGTACAAGGAAAAAGTTCCCAATTTATACGTACTGGTCATCATCGACCAATCACTGAAATTTTAGATATCGCCATAGGGAGTGATTCTCCACACACACCACAGCTGGTGTAGAATACTTGGAAATATATTCCAACTTCTAAGGAAAATTGAAGACTTGGGCATTAGTTAACAATAAGACTTTTACAGAGATGAAAGCTATCATACTGTGATTACCTCAGTTTAGAACAAATATATACAAACATAACCTCTATTTGCAATCACACGAAGATGACAGTTGTTATAATGTCGTTACATAGTTAGTACAACTTTGTTTAACGTGACTATTACAGTGGTCAGAGCGACTACATTATACGACTCCTTTATCTCAGTTATTGAGATATATTATCGCATATCATTCGATATGATAGTACATAGCGGGGTAATTACAACTCTTCGATACACAAAGGAATTTTAGCAGCCATATTGCAACAAAAATATTGTGAACGAAAAATATACTACTATGGGCGTTACATCTTCTTGGAATACAATTGAGATGGACAAATTAAGTAGATCACATCTATGATGGTCACATCATTTTGACAATTCATATGAAAAATTTATGTAATATATTTCTCCAATAATGAAAAATCACCATTATTCAGCATTATTTTCGTGGCCCATAACTTTCAAGTGAGTTGAATTGAATTGTGTACGTCAAAATGGGATTGTTCCGTCACTCTATGGTCCCTCATACTGCTAACAATTTTCAGTCAGAAATAATATTCAATTTAATCTCCATAAATAGTGACTATCATAATATGGCAGTAATTTGTAGAAAGTAGATTATGGAAAGAAAACTGAATTATATAGTGTAGTTGTAATACATTAGATATTCAGCTCATGACCTTCAGGCATAATGATTTAATGGCAACAATTACGTACTAATAATATTCGAATACAGCTCTTCTGAGACTGACTCATGTGAGTCTTCATTAGCAAGTCATTACTACTACATTATGACCTCGATGTGACGTCGCAAAACTGCAACTTAGGATATATCTTGGGTAATACGCTGTACTAAGAACAGTATATAGTTACACCAAGATCGCATACTTGATATCATGTTGGAAGGTGATGAACATAATTGGTCTGAATTAGTCGGGATTGGTTCAGGATTGGATTGGACAAATTGGCACAGAATTTGATAAATTGGTCCAGGATCGTATGAATTTGACGAACAAATAAAGAGATTAGATTGGATGAGGAATGTACAATTGGGACAAATGCGAAAACTGGTCAAATATGGATTGAAATAATATTGATCGAATTGTTGGACAGGGATTGGGAATATTACATCGGGATTGATAGTCAGGAATACACATATTGGACATGGTGAATAATTCCTTGGAAATATTCTACGAAATATTCATTTTGATTTGAAGGATTCACTCACCCTAGCGTTGTCATCGTGACAATAGTGTACCAAAATGCAGCTGGAATAGAGGTGAAGGTCTTGCCAACATTCTTCTCTGCGTAGAACATTACTGTGGCGAATATAATAATGGCCATCGCCAAGGAGAATACGAGGAAGCCCAGCTCGGAAGCGCACGATTTAAGCGTGTAGCCCAAAATTCTAAGTCCCTGCGAATGTCTAGAGAACTTGAAAATTCTAAAAACGCGGAATACCCTAAGAGTGACGAATGCCCCAGACACGTCGTCATTATCTGTGATCCCAAGTCCGATGTAGTACGGTAATATTGCGACTACGTCTATGATGCTCATCACTGATCGCACAAATTTATAACGATTCGGTGCTGCAAACATCCTGAGCAGATACTCTGCGGTGAATATCATCACACAGGCTGTGTCCAAGCAGAAAAACACTATCTTATAACGTTCACCACAAGGAAGAGAACCTGCACCACCCGGCCTACTTCCGCACGGTACCGTCTCCACCACATTGGCCATTACAGATACAGCGATGAAGAACCCAGTCACATAGTAGAAGACCAGAGCTGCGGTGGAAGTGTGGGGGTTTTCGAAAGCCCTCCACATCTTTTGGCGAAGGTTAGTGAGCTGCTGGAGGTGTTGGTCCCCATTCTCCGACAATTTATCGTCCATAAGCCTCTCGGCATTCTCCCGTTTCCTATCGCGATAGTCCTCGTAACAACAGTCTCCGATAACGTCAGGAAGTATGCCGAAGAACGCGAGCTCCTCGTCGTAGCTAGTGAGGCATTCGTGTTTGGGGTAATGGAGCTTGCCAGTTCTGTAGTAGTTGAGGATGTGTCGGAAGATATCCGGGTCACGATCGAAGAAGTATTCCTTGACGTCCTCGTCGTAGAAGAACTCCCTCTCGTTGGATCCGAGCAAGGTGTCCGGATACTTCTCGAGAGTGTTCCTCCAGGTCTCGAACCTCCGGCCCGACACGTTGATGAGCAGCTTCTCGTCGTCGGTCTTCCTGCGGTCTTTGGGAACGGGAGGAGGTGGTAGAGGGTGCGTGGCTATGGGCACCCATCCTATGGCCGCCGCCCGCGCGAATGGCAGCCAAGCGGCGACCGAGGCCATGCTGTGCGGTGGAATTTTCCTGCTGTCGTTCTTCGCGGCCTCCAGCTGTTCACGTACAATTCGGGTCGAGAATGCGGGCTCACGCACTTACATCAGGGGGTGCAGGGTGTTCCGACAGCTCACAGCCGCGCTGGTGGCCCTCCATACGTGCACTATGTCGATATCTGCGGAGTGGAGACGGGTAAAGACACGGCCGGCTGCTGCGAACTCATCTTAGCGTACCGATGTTGTTATCTGAAACGGAACTGCGGAGACGCTAGCTAGTTGGTTTCAGGAGTTTCAGTCGCGGCGTCTGGACGGCCACCCGAGACGCACCGATTCCCGCCGAAAAATGACTAGATCAGTCGCACGCTCGTTCCGCGCTACGACGCAGGATCGCTTTGATCGATTAGAGTGCATTGCGTCTAAATCTGCCAAATATACGCTTAATTTCTCAGTTCCACGTTCTATTAAAATCTCCAGCATCGCCCCACATCGCTTGGCGTTCCGAAAAGGAGTAAAATATACGGACCTATATCAATATTGTTTCACTATTGAGTTGCGAGACACATACCATCATCAGGACTACAAGGTGGTTTTTTTTGTACATGGTCAAAAAGCAATCATTAACTAAATACCAAATTCTGCTGAATACAATTCTACTATTCAGGGTGATTTTGAAATAACCCAGGCAACCAGAACACGTTTCAGTGACGTCTTTTTACGTCAGTTGAATGAATAAGGTGACGTCAACAGTCGACGTCGTATGACGTGATAAATGACGTGAATAAGTCACAGCCCTATGACGTCATATTACTCACGTTTATTGACGTCATTCACTCACCAAACCGTGACGCAGGACTGACGTCGAAATGACGTTCAAATTTGTTGATGACACATAAAAAAGTTCGCTCGAACATGTTGTGATATTCACCACTGACCTCTGATGACATATATTATTGATTATCCATTGTTGAGTCTGCTTGGTGGTCCCTCCGGTGTCATGTCCATCAATCGTCTATTCAGTAGCGCTATCCCTCAGTACGCATCTCCATCAGAATGAAATCAGTTACTCGTATTTGTATAAAAAATTATGTAGTTTGTATCGGCGAGATGTAAGCAAACCAAGAATAGTTTGATAGCAATAAAAAAGGATATTGGCGAATTTAGCTTCACTTTGTTGAGTAACGTATTATCATGCATTATTTGTCACCCAACAAGAATCTAGATAGCAAATCATTGAAAAATTTTCTGAATGACGAAGCTCACCAAATTGATGGTGCGTCACAACGACGTGATTTTTAGACGTCATAGATACGTCACTACAACGTCATAAAAGTGACGGTTTCAATATAGGTTCACCTACATTATTATTTGTACATATATAGCTTGATTGGTTTCCGAAATATACATGGTGTCAAAGTTTCAAAAAAGTTTTCGCTTACTTTTTGAGTATTCATAATTTCAATAAAACTTGCATGTTAATTCGTCTTGATGAGTTATGCTTCTATCGACGTTAGAAGCATATATAGAAGATAACATATACTTATATAAAATTACCAAGACGTACATGTTTCTATATATGTGTGTAAAATTAATGGAAATACGACTTTTTCTGAAAACTTTTCGACACTAAAGATGCCCATCCTGTATATATAGGTACGTCACAAACCTAACGATTTCACATGATAATGTAAGGGTATACATGGTTCAGATATGATCTGGGAAACATTGACGTCGACAGGACCTCCCTGCAAACACATGAAACTGACGTCTCATTTTACTCATTTAAGTGACGTTCACTCGACGTCGAGATTATGACGTGATTATCACGTCATAGAAAGTACGTCATAGCTCTACAGGAAAAAGTATACAATTACAGAACAGGAACTTAGTTAACATTTGCACAATAGTACTAACAATAGAACAAGCTTGGCACAATACACAGTTTACACAATAAGACTACATTTGTAAATAGCTAAAGATTAATGCAAGAATTTTACTGCTGATAATAGTAAATATTGATTTGGCTCACATTACAATGGAATATATCAAGTTGGTCACTAATTGAGTTAGGTATAGTTGCTACACATATAAACACATCAATAACATATTATTCTCAATAAGGATATCACCGAAACATTAGATTTCTCGTGGGCCTTCTAATTAACAAGAAATTTTATCTTGAGATTTCAACAGAAAATTTTAAAAACACATACGCCACTTCAAGGCAACAAATGAAATCCGCGATTTTGTACCAGAGATCAAATGATCTCTTTGTCCGCATACATACATATACCTAAGATTTCGAACATAAAAATGTTATGTAGATATATAAGTGTTCCATTCCAGAACATTGAAGAGGCCCTAAATGAAACTAAATGACTACTTCTGAGGCGCATAGAGAGATCTAATCATTTTCAAAAATTGGCCTCATCAGTTCGCAAGAATATTCCGATTTCTCATTTATTAATCAAATCAAATCAAGATATGCTTTATTGTCACTTAAGAATGTAATCCTTGTAAGTATATTGTTAAAATGATATTAATAATGTAATGTATACAAAAAATATTAACATAAATACATTTTGCTTGTGCACACATAAGGCTCCGTCTAAAATACTTGTTTATGAAAATCCTCAACATTATAGAACGCATAAGGGACTAACAAGTTTTTCAATTCCTTTCTTGTTTTTCTCATATTAGAGGTAGATTCAACTATAGTTGACCATTATATATATCATGTGAACTGCAGGGCCGGGGAAGCTTTACCATGTCTGACTGGCGTGAGTTTTGTGAATCGAACACACCGACTCTATAATAAACAAGGATACTACTGTTGACACTCTGTTCTCCCTGAATAACTCTTTACAAGAGGTTCTTTGACTAACTTTGTATATATATCTTAAGGCCCTTTTTGTAAGATGAAAGTAGACTTTGAATATGCGGTTATTACAAGTATCCCCAAAATGCAATTCCATACCTCAAATAGGATTCAATCAGAGCGTAATTGGTCGTCATAGCAGCAGAATAACCCAACTCGTTTGATATCACTCTGATAGCATAGCATCCTGATACAAGTTTATCGCATAGGTATGAAACATGCAGATCAAATTTCAATTTTTTGTCCACAAAAAGACTTAGAAACTTTGTGCTCAATTTATTTTCGATAGTTTGATGATCCAGAGATATAAGAGGCAACTCACATCGGAATGTTATCAGGTTAGTTTTCTGAATATTGAAGGAAAGTAGGTTTGATTTGCTCCATTGATGGATAATTTCGACGTCTTTGGTTATTTTAATTTGTGCCTCCACAGATCGATCACTCCATAATATGGTAGTGTCATCAGCGGAGAGAGTTATTTTCCCGGATATATACAATTTAGTCATATCATTGACATATAACAAGAACAGCTACAGCCCAAGAACCGAACCTTGAGGTACTCCATGATGAATATTTGAGGTATCTGGGGTAACATTATTGATGCACACCAGTTGTTTTCTATGAGGACTTGGATTCCTAATAGAATCGGAAGAACTTAATTATTAAATTCTAAAATCGCTTATGTATGCTGCATTCACTTCCCTTTGGAATTTTCCCGCTTTATAACAAATTTCATCATTGATTGATTGATTGATTGATTGATTAATAGCAGAATGATCAGTCAGGGTTTGAAGCCCAAAACACTGCAGCCTTTGGGCCTATTGTATTCCTGATCATGCTGTTGACTTAGGTGAACAGGTTCGCTACCTTGATGAGGTTTAGCAGCCTCTTCACCAGATCATTCTTTGAAAATGCCTCTTGAGAGTTTACTGCTCCCAGAAGGTTGTATCTCCAACGCGCTAGTGCTTCGCACTCCAGTATTACATGGGTGGCAGTTTCCTCCTCCTCATTGCATAGTCTGCATATGGGTTCGTCTGTATAGATGCCCATTTGATGCATATGTTTCCTCGAGGGGCAGTGACCGGTTATTAGTCCCGTCACTTGTTTGATCTGACTTCTGTTTAGGCTCAGAATGTCGTTAGTCACTGTTTTGGACAGTGTTCCAACCATCAGTTTACTGTGTCTTTGTCCTGGGACATTGTTCCAGTATGCCTGATGTCTTTCTTGCATCCACCTTGCCAGCCAGCCGCGTATTGAGGTTTTGGGGATACCGAACACAGGTTCCGGCCCCATAAACAACGTCGCAGACCCTTGCCGGGCAAGAGCGTCAGCTGCTTCATTGCCTTCAATTCCCTTATGCCCTGGCACCCATTGAAGAGTTACCTTGTTGTGGTTAGCCAGGGTTAGCAGGCTTTGAAGGCAATCCCAGACCAATTTTGATCTGATTTTATTGCATGTTAGAGATTGAATGGCCGCCTGACTATCTGAGCATATGAGGATTTGTTTACCTCTGTATCCTCTTACGATATTCTCTCTCAGGCATGCCTCAATAGCATGCACCTCTGCCTGGAATACTGAAGCATACCTCCCCAAGGAAGCACACATCCTGGTTCTGGGTCTATCTCCATATATTCCGGCTCCCGTGCCCTCATCAGTCTTAGAACCGTCAGTGTACCATACTAACGTGCCTTCCTGACAGTTAGTCAAGACCCTTTCATCCCAGTAGAGCTGAGTGTTGAAGGGTCTGTAATAGTTATTTCTAGGCAGCATTTTGTCCCTTCCCATATCCATTAGTGGGCTTGAAACTTGGCTGATTATTTTTGTATGTCCCAGGGAGTCACCCCGAGCATACCAGTTGCCGGTACACTCCAGTCTGTATGCCCCCATCCTCGCTCCGCCCTGATGAAGATTTCAAGAGGTGGGATATTGAGTATGGTTTCCATAGCAGCGGTAGGAGTGCTGCGCATAGCACCTGTGATGCAGAGACAAGCTAATCTCTGGAGTTTTGAAAGCTCCATTATAGCTGATCTCTGTTCAGTCTTAGGCCACCAGACAAGCGATCCATATACAATCATTGGTCTCACCACAGCAGTATACAGCCAATGTACCATGCGTGGTTTCAGTCCCCATGTGTTACCAATCGCTCTCCGAGAAGCCATTAGTGCCATTTTGCCTTTGCTGACAGTCTTTCGCAGTTGAGTATTCCAGGTTAGCCTAGCATCTAGGGTTACTCCCAGATACTTAACCTCCTGTGTCATACTTAGCTGTGTGTGAAAAAGTCTGGGAACTTTTAGTTTGTCCAGTTTCTTCTTTTTCGTGAAGGCCACAAGTGCAGTTTTACCAGGATTGACCCTGAGGTCTGCCTTTCTGCACCAGCCCTCTACTATCTTCAGGGCTCTTTGCATCAAGTCTGAAATAATTTCAGGATGCTGCCCCTCTACTAGAATGACAACATCATCTG